GTTCTTAACCCAAGGTTAGGTGATGCCTACCTTGGGTTTCCTAGTTAATCTGCAATAGGAGTAAGTTCTTTATCAGCATCCTATTAGACCTAAGGTGGGTGAAACCCTTCCTTAACCCAAGGTTAGGTGATGCTCTTTTGTTTCCCAGTTGATTCTGTCTATTAGGAGTAGTAATCTTCTATCAGCATCTTATAGAACCTAAGTTTGGGTTGATCGCCTCTTCTTAGGCCTAGAGTTAGGGTGATGCCTACCTAGATTTCCCACTTGATTCTATCTACTAGGAGTAAGTCTTCTATCAGCGTCCTGTAGACTTTAGGTTGGTGGATTCCCTTCCTTACACTCAAGATTCCATTCAAAGTTATCATTCGGTCAATGCCAATACAGACATAGTAGAGTTCCTTCTACTATCGCATATTGGGGGTCCATTTATTACCTCATTTTTGTATGAGGTTACTTTTAACTCCTCCCTTAGTTTTAGATCCTAGGGATTTTCATAGCTCCTAGCCTAGGGCCCAGTCCAGATCTTAACTCAATCCAAAAAAGAATTTTTAGGCTAAAAGACTTAGTCTAAATCCCTTTCTGGGTGATTTTTTCCATCAGTCTTGAAACCCAATCAATTGGCAATTTGATTCAGGTCTATCAATTGCATATTGATGTGACACGTCTCTAGTGTCAACCCTCCAATTTGAGCTTATTTGAAGGACTCTAACTCCATAAACTTAATCCGCTCCAAAGGTTGCAAAACTTCAAAATATTTACAATTCATACCACTGGACCCTTCAGCTAGTGGAATTTGACTTTGGAGCCCCTCCAAACCCTTTGATCACCTCTAATATCTTGAAACTCTGTGGTTGAAAAATATTTTTCTACTAACTTTAAAAGAAAATTTTATTTCGGTTCAACTTTATTATTAAGAGGGTTTAAAATTTTAAAAACTACCAATTCACCCCCCTCTTGGTAGCCTTGGGACATTTACTTAGGCTTAACAACCTAATTACTGGACTCAACAAACCCTTCCTTAAACCCAAGGTTAGGTGATGCCTACATTGGTTTCCCAGTTGATTATGTCTATTAGGAGTAAGTCTTCTATCAGCATCCTATAGACCTAAGGTTGGGTGACGCCCTTCCTTAGGCCTAAGGTTAGGTGATGCCTACCTAGATTTCCAACTTCATTCTATCTACTAGGAGTAAGTCTTCTATCAGCATCCTGTAGACTTTAGGTTGGGTGATTCCCTTCCTTACACTCTCAAGATTCCATTCAAAGTTATCATTCGGTCAATGCCAATGCACATAGTAGAAGTTCCTTCTACTATGCACATTAGGGGTCCATTTATTGACCTCATTTTTGTATGAGGTTACTTTTAACTCCTCCCTGAGTTTTAGATCCTAGGATTTTCATAGCTCTTAGCCCTTAGGCCCAGTCTAGATCTTAACTCAATCCAAACAAAGAATTTTTAGGCTAAAGACTTAGGTCCTAAATCCCTTTCTGGGTGATTTTTTCCATCAGCTTGAAACCCAATCAATTGGCATTTGATTCAAGGTCTATCAATTGCATATTGATGTGACACGTCTCTAGTGTCAACCCTCCAAATTTGATCTTATTTGAAGGACTCTAACTCCATAAACTTAATCCAGCTCCAAAGGTTGCAAAACCTTCAAATATTTACAATCAATACCACTGGACCCTTTCAGCTAGTGGAATTTGACTTTGGAGCCCCCTCCAAACCCTTTGATCACCTCTAATATCTTGATATTGATTTGTTGAACAATAATCTACACCTTTCCAGACTCAATTTGACCCAGAATTGACTCAGAGCCAAAATGACCAAAATTCCCTTCAAGGGGATTTTTTTTGGACTTTTGGCCTAAATTTATTATTATTTGATAATCAATCTTTGAAATCTTTCTTAGGTGTTTCCAATTGACCTTTGGAACCCCTTGGACTCAATTCCAATCATGGGTCAACTTGGTTGACCAAAGCCACAACCCATTTGACCTTAAGGGCCCCCCCCCTCCCCCCTCCGACCCCCCCCCCCCCGCCTCCCCCGCCCCTCCCCTGTCCGGCCTCCCCCTCCCTCCCACCCTTAAGGCGTCAAAAGGTCGGTATTTGATGTAAATTGATCCTTACCCACCTTTGATGCCTCATTCATTAGACTCATATGATCTAATGGATCTCAAGGGATCCAATTCCTAGCCCTAGGTAACCTTGGTTGACCAAGTCAACCAAGTTGACCAAATGACCCATACACCTTATTCAACCTAACCTATTTGACCAAGATCATTCCAATTCCATTTGAACCCAAGGGGTGACTC